CAGTTCTAGCACGTCTATGCATATAAAGTCCCCTTCTCCCTTCTGCCTCGCCCTGATCGTCCTTCCTTGTACCTCCTCCGGCAACTCGTACCTCCAGAACACCCTCGTTTCCATGCAAACGCCCCCCAACGCTCTCGTTGACGCATCCGAAAACCAACTCCTCGAAGGAACTTGCTTGGCAAAGCTGAACGACGCCGCCGTTATCTTACTGCCCACCTCCCCCGCCCCTCTCCCTAGATACCACCGCCACCACCCCACCTCTGCCCTAAACTCCCATGTCAGCTTCACTACCTTGCGTGCTTGCGCCTTCTTCCTATGTCTGCCCCACGCGTCCCCCCCTCCGGCCCGTTCCACCCCATTCAGATGCAGCCCGACAAGCTGCAGAAGCCTGTGTACGAAGTAACGGCCGGGCCTGATAACGAAGGCCGCGTGGTGCAGCTTACCTGCCAACACCAATACCTCGCGCACGGTAGCCTGCTTCCTGTGCTCTGGCCATTCCGCTAACCTTTCTCTCAAATCCTGCACTTTCTGTTCCGGCAATGAAATCGTTCCTGCTTCGGTATCCACCAACCACCCTAATACCACATGTTCCGTCCTCCAGTCTGTCATCTTTTTTGCGGGCAGCACTGGCTCCTCCTGCTCATCCCTCTCCCCTAATAATACATGGTGAGTGGACGCAAGTCCCTTCGTCAACTCCAGACACCGCTCCCCCTTGTCTTCCCACTGCACTTCCACACTAATCGCATCGTCCACGAAGAACCGCACAAACGCCGGATCATTCTTCCCCCCCCCCACCGCCGCCTCCCCCCACTCGGTGTTTGCCATCGGGATTGGGTTTTCATCGATTGGCAACGACGTTGTAAAACAAGCCAATTCACTTCGTGAACTCGGCAACCAGGTTACCGTCTTTTTTTTTTACCTCTGGTTTTTTTTTTGGCGGTAACCATAATGGTGGTCGAGTAGATCATGTTGTGCGGGGTTGAGAAACCTCACTCCGCGCAACGGGGGATGATCGCACCACGTTGTGTTAAAATGGTCAAGCTTCCTCGAGGCAGTTACACAGTGCTTACAACTGTCTCTGGAAGTGAAAGCACCAGAAAATAAATTAAGTCATACGCAGCTGTCATCCGTACGCAAGGAAGTAAGCACAAGAACACCCTTAGCAGGATGCAGCTCACCCTTCATGCGACTCGCCAAATACCTCACGGCGCTTCGCGCTTGGTGATGTGAGAGCCTGGTCCGGTGAGAACCCGGCGTGCTCCGTCCCGGCTTTGTAGGGATGCGAGGTCAATGGTCAAACGACTACGGCATGCACGACTATGAGTACACCCCCCCCCCCCCCC